TCAGCCTCACCCATGTCACATACTGAGCCATACTTGAAGCACTATTCAGTCCTAGCACCATTTATAACCACGATTCCCATCATTAAATAAAGAACCACATTACAACTGCCAAACGAATTTCCTCCACCCGCCTTCTCCTCCATCTTCACCATCATAACTCACCTTATTCTCAGCTACCTTCAAAGTGACCTGCTGGTGACCTTTCTAAATTGCAAGCTGGCCAGTGTCACAGTTTGATTTAAAAGGGTCTTCAGCTCCTAATGATTTCCAGACTACACCAGTGCTGTGCTTAGGTCCCTGCCTTGAGTCACCCCCTGCCTCTCTGGACCCTCTGGAGCTATCTACATCACCTGCTCTCAGCTGTCTGGACCCTGTGTGGTGTGGGGGAGAGGCACATCCTTTTCCTCCAGGATCTCACTCAGCCTGTCTGCCTCAGGCTCCATGTCCTTTCCCCAGCACAACACTTACACTGAGACTCTCTTACCTGGACCAGTGCTCGACAGCTGGCCACCTCACAGCCTCCTTGCTGAAGCCCCTTTCCTACCTACAGGGAAGCCCCTGACTGTGCCACCTCACATCTCACACCTGGAATCTTGGTAGAAATCCACTGCCTGCAAACTAAGAAATGACAATTTTGGACTGTCTAAAAGCAAAGACAGGGCCAGGTGTTGTGACACACCTCTGGAATCCCAGAACTCAGATACTGGAGGCAGGAGGATCACAGCAAGTTTGAGGCCAGACAGACAGACATAGTGAGTTCAGGCCATCCAGGATTACAAAGAGAGACCTTGTCTCAAAAACACAAACAAAGCACCACTTAAATCAGAATATTCGTGAAATATATTTTTGGACAAAGAAAATTATGCATAGAAAAGCAAGTATCATCTAATACAGTGACACAGATAAGATAAATTCCATTATAAGTGTCCTAAAGTTCTCCATTTATGCTGTATTTCTAGCACATTCTCTCCTGGAGTGTCCACCAGGCGTACTCTAGGGGATATGCCATGCATGGGAAGTGCGTATTTAGAGTAATATAGTGTGTGTGAGGCCACAACAGGAGCCATGAGTCAGTCATTTCTGGCTGGAGTTACTGCTGCCTTGGCGGGTTATTGTCTGTCTAAGACAGAGGGTGTGGCAGCACTGTTCCCTAGGTTCCCAAGGCTGCTGTGTCATCACAGATAATTAACTGCTGTTTGCAAAGTGGAAAATTACAAGTTCCAGTCACTGGCATGTTGAGTATAGGATGGAGCACGCTTGCCCCTTTGGAATGAATGTTCTTGTATAAAGCTAGTCCTTCAGGAGTACTTTTTCCTCTGTATTTTCCTGATGTAGATGCTTAGCTACTTCTCTCTCACTGTCAGCATCAGGGGAGATGGGAGTGGAAAGGAAATGTAGAGGAAGCCTCACCAACAAACTGTGAGTCATGTCACCAGAACTCTGCACCTGAGTGGTGTTGTCGATGTGGAAAGTGTTTTATTCCGTGACCTCAAGAAGTCCTTTTTTAATTGTTATAGAAGTAGCCTCTTTGTGAGCAGCAAGACAGGAAAAGATAGTAGCAAGCCCATTAAACCTGTGTGCAAGGACCATGGATGGCTTCAAGACTCTCTTGCTGTCTAACAAAACCCTTTCTCCTATCTGAGAAATAAATTTGCTCTTGGAATAACTTCCAGCTTTGTTCACTCAAAACCATTAATGGTGACATATCTGTTATGTTGGCAACATAGCTAACATAAACTTGAATTGGTAAGCTTCATAACACCAGGCAGGAAGCTAAAGCCCCAGGCTTTTCTGAGTGATCTTGTGACTCTACATAAACTTTGCAGAGGTCCTCAGATGACGAGAGATGCTGGCACCTATGGGCCAGAAACAAGTCTACTAAAGATAAATGTTCTGCATGGACTGGCAACGATGTTGTACTTCCTACCCTGGACCTTTCCAAGTGAACCAAGTACTGCCTGCAGTAACAACCTTGAATGTCTGAGTTAAAACCCTGGTGAACATGACAAAACTAGTCAGTGTATAGCTATGTATATGGATACTGGGTTTTCTGAGAAGTGGTGTTTTTGTTGTTTGTTTTGGTTTTGAGACCATGGCTTAGGCTAGCCTGCAACTCATTATGTTGCCCAGGCTGGCCTCAAACAAATACCAATCCTCCTGTCTCTGCCTCCCAAGTGCTGCAATTACAAGTATGAGCCACCATATCTGGCTAGCTGGGAGGCCTTTTCTTGAACATATGGGATGGGATACTAAAAAGGGCAAATTAACTCTCTCTTCAACACAAGATCAAAAGATATGACACTCACAAGGCACTCTGCTATGGTAATTGCACTGTGAGGTTGAAATATAAAAAACAATGGTCATGGTTAAAGTCTGAGAGAGACAGCTCAGGGGTGAAGAGCACACAAGTGGTGGCTACCAACCAGCTGTCACTCCAGTTCCAGGGTATCTGATGCCCTCTTCTGGCCTTCACAGGCACTGCACACACATCGCACATACACATACAGGCAAAAGGCTCATGTATATAAAATAAAAAATAAAGAAATCAAACTTTGAGAGAAAATATAATCTTACATAAGGGATGGAACTTGAGTGATTTTTTCCTTTAAAATTATTGTATTATAATAGAATATAACATTACAATACAATGTATTAACAAAATTAATGTGAGGGAGGCCTGTATCTGGAAGCCAACCAAACACTCTCTCCTCCCTAAGGAGTCCCGGTACCCTTTGCTTCTGTCATCACACAAGCATCAGGAATAGCGATTGCAGAGGAGATGGAGGTAGAGACTAACAGAAAAGAAGCGGACATGGAGGCTGAGCCCCACACATGGAGGTGATCTTAACCATTTTCTTCACCATGTCCTCATTGCAGAGTAAGTCACATTATGAGACTCAGCCATTAGGTAAAAGGTAGAGGCTGTGCACACTCTATGGCACTTAGAGTGGAGGCCGGGAAAGTCTAATGATACCTTCAACTATGATACTTGAAGAGAAGACAGATGGAGTCTTCGTTTCTGTGACCAGAAGCCTGGTACCTGCTCCAGAAGGCTGTACTTTCTTTAGACACTGTAGTGCCATCAGTGGACCCCCTCTGTTATAGCTCCAATTCAGCAAGTTCAAAACATGTTCTTTCATTTTGTGTGTGTTCACATATGTGTATGGTATGTGTGTGAGTGTGCTGTTGAACACGTACATGCATACGTGTGTATGGAGGCCCATGGGTTAATATCTGGTACCTCTCTCCATCACTCCTCACCTCAATTCACTAGTGAAGTTTCCCCTGTTGAACTTGGACTTGCCCATTCAATTAGTGTGGCTTGTAGCTTGCCCTAAGGATCCTTTGTCTCTGCCCCCAGGGAGCTGGGATTACAGGTGGACCACCATACCCTGAGTTCTAGGGATTCAAACTCCAGTCCTGATGTTTTCACAGCAAGCACTTTACACACAGAATGCACACCTTTAACTTGTGAAGGCAAGTCTCTACCTTCAGCCCCTCAGGAGTGTTAGTTTTCATGATTCCCTGGGGAACTCCTTCCCCATGGCAACAGCGGCAGGCAGAGAACCGGCAGAGAGTCTCAATTAAGAGTCCTCATCTTTATCTAAAAACATTGTTGTGTTCTTGTGGAAGACTACATTCTGGTCCCAGGGATAATTTTAAAGGCTAACAGTAACAGCAGATACCTGGAAATTTGTTCACTTGACCGGAGAGTATGTCATTGTCGTGAAATGAAACTCCATGCCAGTAGATGTCACAAGGCAAGCGCCGGCCAAATGGGAACTAGAAAAAGAGGGGAACATGTGATTCATAGTAAGAATAAGAGGCACCACACTGGGGGCTCAGGGCTTACAAATGTCTGACACTAGGTAAATTCCATGAAGAAACACATAGATGGCATTGCTCAGGGCACTGGCGGATGTACCACTAGTTTGGCAAGCATCGTTTTTGCTTTAGTAAGCCTCATGGCTGCTTTTACAAAGGATTATTCCCATTTTACTGATTAAAAACTTAAGGCTGAAAGAAGTAGTTTAATATGCCCTGATTCATGCAGATCTGGTGAATATGTGCACGCAGGTTGAGGGTGGGTGTTCTGATTTAAACCTAGGACAAAATTACCCAAATCCTAAGTCCACGCTTCTGTCTCTTTATCTGAAAATGGCAACCCTCAACCCGGTCCCCCAAAACAGGCAGAGTCGGGCCCTCTCTCTCTCCCTCTCCCTCTGCCTCACATACAACTCCCCGTTGGATGCAGGAAGCATCCTTGACTGCAGAGACAGTCCCTGGGCCTTAGTGAAAATGTTTTGAATTCATAAATGAAGGAGCCAGGTGTGGTCACCTGACTCAAAATGAGCTCAGGAGAGTCTGCCTTCTAGGAATTTGAAAGTCAGAGACATCAGGCGACCTCTGCTGGCCCCTGGACCTAGTGCAATGAAAAAACCAGAACTGGGCAGCTGTGGATGACTGAGTGTAGGAGAAGGGACAGCGGTCTGCTGGGAGCAGGGCCAGCCCTGGAGAGAGACAGTGAGACAAGGCCATATCTCCTGGAGACAGAATGACCCTGTTCCTCAGACCTGTTGTTCTCCCCAGTCTGGCTGCCCACCTGCCCTTGTCCTATAACATACTCTGGGGTCCTGAGAAGATCTTCCCGGTGTTCTAAGTTCCTCTTTGGTACAAGCTCTAGGGTCCCAATTATTTTCAGCCAGAAAAACCCTTATTGAGACCAAAATGCCTGTTCTTCTGCTACATTCTGCCACCCTTAATGTCTGTCATTAGCAAGTTCTGCATCTGTAGACACAGTTCTTTAAAATGTGACTTGGTTGACCTTGTTAACAGGAACATGAAGACAGGCTAGCTCATATTTAGAACTCGCTTGTTAAAAGTCCAAATAAAGATAGATGACTGTGCATTAAATAAAACCATTTGATTTTCCCATTTTGAGACTGCACTCATCAGAATTTTTATCTGCTGAGAGTTGGAGGGTTACATCCTGATGGAATCATACGCCATGACTAATGAAATAGTGGTAGGGATGCTTCCAGCCATCCCAAATTAATACCGAGGCCAACAGACTCAAGCCCTTTAAATCTGCTACGTGGCTTCAAAGCTGTGCCACAGTGAGGCATACGCTATGACATCTATACATATATTTTATGTATAATTTGTAGCTTCTTGTTCATTTTCTTTGCTTCCAATGGGTGGTAAATTATTTATTTGGCAGCCGTAAATATGAAGAGTTGGAACATATGCACCTTCCTTCCAGCTGTTAAGTCTAACACAGAAAAAGCAAAGACAGCATGATGGAACTCTAAAACGCAGACTGCCCAAGCAACTGGACCATAACTGGAGTGACTTTATTGTCCATCATTAGTGACCAATACCAACTCCTTGCTAGTGTGCTGCCTGACAACAGTTTTCACCTGTGCCATTTTCCTTTAATCTTTAAAACTAAGTATGGTGGCTCACACACATATTTGAGGAACTTGAGGTGGGAGAGCTGCCACGAACTCGGGGCTAGCCTGGGCTACAGAGTAAGACCTGGTCATATAAAAACAAAAGCAAGCAAACAAAAAAGCCCGAACAAAGAAAATAATAATTAAAAAAAAACAAATAATTGCTGGGCGATGGTGGCGTACACACCTTTAATTCCAGCACTTGGGAGGCAGAGGCAGGTGGATCTTAGAGTTCAAGGCCAGCCTGGTTTACAGAGTGAGTTCCAGGACAGCCAAAACTACACAGAGAAACCCTGTCTCAAAAAAGCAAACAAACAAAAAAACCAAAAAAAGAAAAGAAAGAAAGAAAAAGGGGGGAGCCCAAATACTTCCAGCTCCTTAAGTTTGAAAAGAAACTATACTTGTTCAAAATTATTATGTTCCAGACTCTATATAGGTGCTAGGAATACAGAACAAAGGCCCCTGTTCAGAGCTTGAATGCATTCAACAGCAAAAAACTGAAGTCTTAGCCTCAGATGGAGAACAAGAACAAGGTGTCTGATTTCACTTCTGTTCAACACAGGGTTAAAATGATATCTGAGCAACAGGCAGAAGAAATTAAGGACACTGTCAATAGAACAGAGAAGGAAAATGGTCTCTGGTATAGGTAATAGAATCTTGTATGTAGGAAGCCCTCAGGATTGCATGAAAAGCCTTTGAAAAATCACGGAAACATGATATAACACCAAAAGCATGAACTACTTAAGAATTAACTTGGGAAGGGAATAAATGCCTTGTACAGCAAAAACTATAAAATGTTCTTCAAGGAAATCAATGAAAGTTCAAATAAAGGGAAAGAAATCCCATTTCACAGATTGAAGGGCAGTATTAATTAAGATGTCAGTACTATCCAAAATGAACTATAGATTCACTGTCTCTAACAAGACACCCATGATTTGGTTTTGGCAAGAAATAGAAAAGATCTTACAAGTAAATGGAATTACAACAATCTCTAATTTGCCAAGACAATCTTTAAAAGGATAAACACAGTGGGAGACCCTCACACTCCTGATGTCTAAGCTGAAAACAAAGCTACAAGCTTGTTTAAAAAAAATAACAGGCACATAGATATCAGCTGGACTGGCCCAAACTGAAAACACTAACAATGCCAAACGCTGGCTAGGAATCCCGGAGTGAGAACACATGTTTTCTGGAGGAAATGTGAAGTAGTGTAGCCACCTTTCCAAGACAGGCGGCAGTTACTTAGGAGACAAAAATACTGTTACCACTGTGTCTGGTAACTATACTCCCTTGTGTTTATTCAAGTGAGTTGAAACTATGTCCACACAAAACCCAGAACACAAGTGTTTATTGGCAGTGTCAGCCTCTTCAGTAGGTGAGTGGGTAGATGGTGGTGCAGACAGGGGATGAGACAAAATGTCCAGGAACCATTGTGCACATTGCTAAACAAAGGAAGACAATCTGAAATGGCTACATAATCTATCATTCCTACCATAAGGCACTATGGAAAGGGCAAAACTGTGGCAATGATAAAGCAATCAGTGAAAGTCAGAGGCTGCTGGAGAAGGAGCGATGGAGCACAGAGGATTTTCAAAATAGAGAAACTGCTTGTTGGCACTATAATAATAGCACTATAATGATGAACACAGGTCATCATTTCCAAAAAACACAGAGCCCATGTAAAGCACCAACAGTGTCCAAGATCAAATGAACTTACAAAAAGCACTGGATACTCAAAAATGCATAGTCATCGCCAGTTTGTGTTTACACCATGTTTCTTTCTTTTTTAATACTTTATTATTTTAAAATTTTATGTGCATTGGTATTCTGCCTGCATGTATGTCTGTGTGAGGGTGTCAGATCTTGGAGCTACAGACAGTTGTGAGTTGCTATGAGGGTACTGGGACTTGAACCCAGAGTGCTTTTCACTGCTGCTCTCCATGTTTCTTAATGACTTACTAATATGTGCCCCACATTGTGTGTAGTGTCTCAGCCTTCATGGCAGTCTTATGAGAAAGCCAGCACCATGAACCCTGTTTACAGACTGAGGACACACTTTGCAAGGGTAAATAATTTCCTCCAGTCACAGGACTGGTACAGGTAGAGTTCAAATCCTGATCTCCCAGATTCCAAGGTCCAAGCCACACATGGTAGCATGCACCTGTAATCTCAGTACTGGGAGCTCAGGAGGCAGAGACAGATCTTTATGAGTTTAAGGACATTCTGGGTCTACATAGCAAGTTCCCAGCAGCCAGGGCTAGATAGTGAGATTCTGTCTCAAAAAACAAAACAAACAAACAAAAAAGCCAAAGGTTAACATGGCTGTTGAGATGGCTCAGTGGACAAGTCTGGTGACCTGAATCCACAGAAAAGTGGAAAGTTGTCCTCTGATCACTACACATGCTCCATGGTTCCTAAACCCATGTACATAATTCAGAAAGATCTGATTCGGAGACCAAAGACACCAGCTATTGCCTGGATCTGTATCCTCGGGGTCTGTGGGATCTTAGACTAGAAACTTCGGGATCAAGATCCCAACTGTGGGAGGCATGCACAAGGTCCTTGTACTCACAGATGAACATCAAAGGAACCAAGAATGTTAAACACTTGGGGTTGTTCCTTCCAGGGAAGGGACACATAACCTGTGTCCCAGAAGGCTGGGAGCAGAAGGGGTAATTGCCTGGTGACCTGTGCATATCTATGTGGCTGAGTCCATGCTGGATTCTTCCCTACACCCTTAACTTGAGTTCATTTTTCTCAATCTGTATAAATGCCTCTGTGGGAGGTGTCACACAGCCAATCTATAGGACCCATCTTTATGGATGATGTCACATGTACTTTACAAAGAGCTTGAGGTAGTCATGTACACATGGGATTGATTTTATTTTCACCAGGAAAGTTTTCACCAAGTTGTGCTATATTTAAGTATACCTAAAATATGCTACCGAGGGTCAGACTCGTGGAGTTTGAACCAGTACCAGCTACTCAGTGATATTGAACCAAACTCCCTTTTTATATTTCACAGACTGTTACTTTGCAGGCCATGGTGGTTGCAAAGACACCCCACCCGCTCTGCTCAATAAACCCTTTCTCTGGTATTTCATTCTATTACTATACTATAGTAATATAAAACTGACTAATCCACCACTGCATGCCACATTTTGAAATAATCATTATAGTCAAGTATCAGTCCAATGTGAAGTACTGTAACAAACCTACCCTCATTGCAACACTACTAGCTTTGGCACAAAGAACTCCCTGTATCAGGGAACACACCTGTATGGACCCAAAATCATTCCCCTTCTTGTCCAGAGGACTGAAAACACACTT